ATGCAAAGTCTGAATTGAAAATTGTTCAATTTAGAATATTCACAAAATAATGAAGTTTTGATATAAAGATTAAAAAGATGAAGAATTCCTTATCATATTTTTTTCCGTGGGTTGAATATCTTGTGAGAATGGGGTGGACACCTGATTCTGAACATATTTGGATTCAAATTCTGAATAGAAGACAGCAAAAATTAATTCTATTATTGGTACACATAAGTGATTTTATTTTAAGTGGTGAACAACATGATGGCAATGAAGATACAAGTTCGGTTAATGAGGAAATGATAGATCAACGACCATTACAGGTTTGTAATATCATTTTTATTAAATTTTCAAGGGTTAAAATATTTATATACACCCATAAGTTGATAGTACTTCTGTTTCTATAAATTTATACTATATTATAGTTAATTAATGTGATTTGTAATATATTTATATAACTCCTAATACTAAGATAAATAGTATCAATGAAATAGACATAATAAATATTATTAATAATTTCAATCTTTACTTTGCATAGTTCTCTTCATTGTTATTTGTTATAAGTCACAGTTAGATTTTTATATCATATAACTTGTCTTATTATTATTGATCAAATTTATATTTCATCCTAGGTCATTTATCAAGAAACTTCTAAAACCTGGATCAACATACACGATCTTCTACAATTTGTTGAAATGACTGAAAACAAAGTTTCATTTATTTGGGCATCCGAAAAATCTGGCTTCAGACATTTGTATTACATTACAGCCAGCATTGGTGCACATGTCAATGGCACAACAATGGAAGTAGATGATAATAATATAACGCATTTACTCAATTTTGGACCAAGAATAATAAATGAAACACAATTGACATTTGGAGAATGGGAAGTTTTACAAAAGAATATGTATGTTGATGCTTCAAGGCATTTAATTTATTTTACTGGTTTTCGTGAAAGTCCTTTAGAGAAACATCTATATGTTGTTTGTTGGGATCATCCAGGATACATTCGTTTGCTTACAAATCCTAATCATTCTTATTCAGTTGATATGAACAAGAATTGTACACTTATGGTACAGACTTACAGTAATACAGGAACATTACCTAGTTGTGAAGTGCTAAGAATTGTACATACGGAAGCTGAAAAAGCTGTCGATGGTATCAATTTGATCTCATTAGGTTTACTATTGGAAGGATGTCCAATAAATGGCATGATAAATAGTCCTCAAATATATAGCCCAAAATTATCAACAGGTGAAACGCTATATGCAATGGTATTTAAACCTCAAAATTTTAAACCAGGTCAAAAATATCCAACTGTGTTGAATGTGTATGGTGGACCTGAAGTACAAACTGTGAATAATACATTTAAAGGTATACGACAGCTTAGAATGCATATGTTAGCTGCAAAAGGTTTCTGTGTTGTATCTATTGATTCCAGAGGATCCCAACATCGAGGAGTAGCATTTGAAAGTCATTTGCATCTTCGCATGGGAACTGTTGAATTAAAGGATCAAGTAGAAATTTTAAATAATCTTGCCCAAGAATTAGGCTTTATAGATACTTCTAGAGTTGCAATCCATGGCTGGTCATATGGTGGATATCTCAGTTTAATGGGCTTGATTCATTACCCACATGTATTTAATTTAGCGATTGCAGGTGCTCCAGTCACTTGTTGGGAACTTTATGATACTGGATACACAGAAAGATATATGGATTTACCAGATAATAATCGTGAGGGTTATCAGTATGGATCTGTATTATCATATCTAAACAAATTTCCTGATGAAGAGCATAGGTTATTAATAATTCATGGTATGATTGATGAGAATGTCCATTTTCTTCATACCAAACATTAGTAATGGGGCTTGTGCAAGCATGTAAACCGCATGAATTACAAGTCTATCCTAATGAAAGACATTCATTGAGAAATATTGATGCTAGCAAACATTATGAAACTAAATTACTTGCATTTTTACAAAATTACTTGTGAGCATTTCGATCTATTTATTTTATAAATAACATACATAAATCACTTTGTTTGCTCATTTTTGTGCATTACTTTATATCATTGACTTTTCACACATTTATAAAATATAAGAAGATATTTATAGGTTCTGAAGTATTTACATAGGCTTAATATATTATTTAAAGATTTTATTGGTATGTTTATAATAAACCATCAGATATTTTAATTTTGGCACATTTATTCTAATGCTTTTACGAAGGTTTAATTTTATTAACAAATATTTTGCAGAATTATGCTTCTATGAACTTAATTTCTTCTACAAAATATAAAAAAATTAAACATTTAACAATATTTTTTTTTATCAATATGGTTGAGGGGTTTTTAATCTTTTTCATATTATTTTAATCTCCGAGTGAAATAACATACTTTAAATGTTTCTTTAAACGTCCAAGTGTTACTTGAAAATGAACAAATTAACTACAAATAAATAAAACGAAATATATTCTAATGGCTAAAAAACCTAATTAAATTTAATAATAAAAAATAATAATATAGAATAACGTGAATTATCTGTACGAAGCTCCAAGCCGCCCGCTACACGTGGTCTGGGAATATCAGCTCGGTCGGTTGGCATGAAGTTGAACAGATCGGAACACACTAAATGGAAACTAACCGATCGACTTGTGAAACAATGCATATTATATAACTAATAACACTGAATGAACCGAAACTGTCGCACCATGGACGTAGAAAATAATAACTAAATATTTGATATTACTGTCGGCATGGGACTTTTATATCGGTCAGAACCGCCTGCTTTTAGTAATTTTGATAGTGTCAGACATCTAAAGTAGCGCAACGGTATAAAACGCCTTTTGTGTTGAGCATGAAAACCACTATACTTTCGTTTATATGCGACTAGAAAAAAAAATTGTACGATCTTTCGACGACCAAATCGTAATCTTTAAATCGTGAAAAAAAACTGAAAATTGAACACCATATTGCAGATTGTATTATTGGATAATAATCTTTTTGTCGATTACATCACAATGTTATATTGTCTATTCTTACTGTGGTAAAATCCTTACAGTAGATAAATACAATTGAATATTATAGAAAAAT